CAGCTTTGTTAATACAATGAGATGTAAGCGAACTATGAAACTTCATCGGCTGACCATTAAATTTCATTCGCGGTAATACTTCCTGCTAGGAGATGGTAGAGCACAAATTGCTGTACCACATCTTGATATTTACTGCGTAGTTCATTGTGTTAAAGCCGTAGTTACGACTTGCCCCATAAGCTTTTTCAAATGGCCACCTTGTAATCCTGCAATTTAGGGACCGCTCATTGCCATTAACCCGAACGCATGGAAGAGCTCCTTTTCAGGAGGGGGATAAGATTAAATGGATTTTAACTGTAGGAAGAAATGTAGTGTGATGCTTTGCCTTTACTGCAAACACATAACTGCAGTAGATAGCAAATATTCGTACATTCATAAAAGACAAACAAGAATGTCGACTGGTAATATGTTTGCCACGTGGAAACTATCGGCTGGTGGAGCTCTTATTAACCACTTTCTATTGTATGCTGTCAGGCACATGCTTATTTGAACACACTCTTATTCCTCTACCTTATATTTAGTCTGTTTCGATTTCAGTTCTGTTACTTGCATGTCACTAGTAAATTGCCCGTCGAGAGTGACGGGAAAGATATAAAGTAGCAAACATCAATAGTTATAAATATCATTATTAAATACAAGGACATAAGTTCATTAGCAACATTGCCACTACAACGGTTGTACAACACACATTCATAAATGTTGCCTCATAAGGCCCAAAATCCCTCAGCTTTTCATTCAACAAACACTTTCTATTAAATGGGCCGATTTGTCGATTTTGATTCGCTGGGTTGTGGTGCCACTTGGTCTTGTAAGGGATATTATATTCCAATGTATGATAATATCGAGGTAAATATTTTTACCTGTTATTTTATATGGAAATGTAACTTATTCTCTCATTTTAAGACAAATGCATAGATTAAGGATATTTAAACACAGAAGTGCAGAAGAAGATGTTTAGCCCAGGAATATAAATTGGCAGGGGACTGAAGACAGTTTAATAACTGGAAACATTGTAAGTTATGCGAGACATGTGGCACGTCTATCATAATTTTGCCATCTCTAACAGTTTTTAATTTACATGAAGAAGGCAGCGTTCAAAGCCTAAAGCAAATGGATTTGAAGGAGAGGAAGAGAAGAAAGATTAATTCCATTTCAGAACATAATAATTCGCCCACAGTCTCATTACGAGAGAAAATTGGAAAGTTTTTCAATACTAAAGAATTACCAACATGTGGAACTGCAGATGGTTGTCTTCTGGGTTTTAGCGGCGTGGTAGAAGTTCACCGACGTCACGCTTTATCAGGGCGACAACCCAGAAGACAGTAATCTTCCGACGCACCGTCGTGAAAACTTCAGGTCCTACTTACGTGGAACTGAATTTATCATCGTTTAATAATTTAATTGACCCCAGTGTTTTTAATAACCTCATGAATTTGTATAAAATACATGGATGTCTTACCAGGACATATCCGGAGTCACTGAATTTATGAAAATTTGTGGCTATTTTGATTTTTAAAGCCAATCTTCATCAGTATGTAAAAAATACATTGACCATTAAATAAATGATAGTAGGTTTATTTCAGTAGAATACTTTTGACAGTAACTTCGGCAAAAATTCCATGCTGTTACCGAATCCTACTTATTTATTTATAGAATATTTAACGACACTCTTCCAGTAGATCATATTATGAGAGGATGACAGCGAGTAATGAATTGGAAAGGACGTGGAAGGAAGCGGTCATGACATAATTTAAGGTAATGTCTCAGAATTTTCTACGTAGAAACCCCCAGTGAGGATAGCCGGTCTCCGGCCGGAGATTTGAACCCAGAACCTCCCGAATACAAAGTAGGAGACATCAATTTTTTGCAAAAGATCGCCATTTCACCGCATGTTTGAGTCCAATCTACAACTACACATCTTTCTTCGGGGTCCGTCGACATTTAGATCTTCCAGGCGTTTCTCTTCCCTTGAAGTTTTTTGATAGTTTAACGAATTGTTCCATTCGACCTTGCGCTGTCTTTCTTGAAGAAATTATTTTGTTTCGAATGGTAAATACAGTTCTTCTTCTTGTCACAGTTAAATTGTCACGAACAGTGGTATGGTGATGTGCGGTAACCTTTATTAGCAGTTCTAGGCTGCATTCACTTTGCTACCGGCTTGAGTAGTTTTAAGGAGTGCCATTTCTTTGGGACTTTCTCTGCTTTCCGTGACATTGGGGATGTTGAGTGGAGCACACTCGCAATCCGGTGCCTAGAATTTTATTACGTAAAAGTCGAAAGCAAACAGGAATCTCAATATCGTATCAAAATCGTTTCTTTGCGAGGAAATACAAAAATTCATAGGTCTGTACGTGTCACCAATAGTAATCCCATCCGTAACATTTTGAGTTCTCTCTACACTTTCATTATTTGTACTAAAAAGGACATTAGGTTTATATGGGGATGTTACGACCCGAGTTATTTAAACGGAAAGTTTGATCAGTAGTGCCTTTGGTGCTTTCTAAGTCTCATTATTTAACCATTATACTGCCGTAAACAATAAGAAACATGATGTCCCGTAACATTATATGTAAATCAGAGTTTTACGATTACTGCATGCACTAGTAACAGCAACTTAAGGTAAAAGACGGGATTTCTGAAATTAAACTTGTTTCACATGACGTGATCTTTGCATTGGGTGAAGGCGAGGTGTAAGACATTACATTGTAAAATGTGGGATTCCATAACTTTGAAAGGCCGAAAGGTGTGTTGCTGTATTCTGTAACTGCTTTTTAAGGATTATGCTGCTACGTCGTAAAGGAAAGTGGATGAAATGTTTAAATAATTCATATAAATTATATCAGTTAAATAATTAAAAAGCATGACGACGTGGCAAATAAAGACAATTACAGGCAGGATCTAAAAAAAATATTATTATGAAAAATAGATAACTGTAAAATAGTATATTCTAATGACAGCATAGGTCAGCAGTTAACACTGAAGATAGGGTCCAGACGTGTAGATAAAAAGTTTAACGGAAGGTTAAATGTAAGGAAATGAATAAAATAAATTTGTGTTAAAATTACAGTTTTTCTGCAGATAGAACTAGGAGTAGAAACACATTCAGTTAATGATAATATAATAATTAAATTCGGTTTAATTCATTGATTGACAGCGGCCAGATAAGGCCAGTTGGAGCGAAGAACTAAAACTGCAGCAAATGATAAAAATAATGTGTTAAAATCTGCAAATGAATTAACGAATCAACATCAACAATAATAACTGTGGTTATGATGATGACATTCTCCGTTACCTCGGGCGAACTAACAGTTAGTAGTAGAAAGCACAATTCTTGCGTTCCACAGAATGTTCTGTGGTCTTCTGGGTACCGTCGCCGTGTAGTCTTGTACCTGGCTACCAAAGTTTCATGTCGTCTCTGTCTTCAGCTTACCTCTTGTACCCTGAAGACGGAGGCAATATATTATTCCGAAATATTTTTAACCACTTATAAGGCTATGTAGCGTCGTAGCGTCATAACTCAGATAACATTCCGTGTTTTCGCGGTCACGAAAATAATAAATCTCATAAATAAAAAAAAATATTACTTATGATCCACAATCTTGACACGAGACATATCCTTTTGAATATCCTCTGTAAAATACGATGGCCATGTCGAAACCATTTTCTGCTCATAGTTAAGTAACCCCTTAGCAATCGCTAGAAAAAATATATGCCCATGACTAACCTGTATGGAAGATAGCTACCTGAAAGAGTGGGCATGTTTACGTGTATGGGTGGTCTGTACTGTTCAAGAAATTTACAACACATACATTTTAAGACTGTAGATCAAAATAAATATGTTTCCTGACCAACGTGTATCTGAATTTTGCATTTTATAAAAATGGTTATGATTATACTCTATTTTACGAGGAAAATAAAAGTAGCGTATAAAAATGTAATGTGAAACGAAACTACAGGATGGGTGGGAAGTAAGTAGGCATTCCCATTTAAATAGGTACTGCAAAAATTACTTTCATTATCTTTGCATTGGAAATATAGAGGTTATAACCATTTCTCAATGCCTACTTACTTCCCATCCACCCTGTATAGATACTAGGACCTTAAAACCAAAGAATTAATGAAATTTGGTGAGATGTAACACATAATAAATGTGTTTTACAATAAGTATGAAAAAAGCTGATAGACTACGTTTATAAGAACTGGAGTGTTCCCCTGTAATTGTCAAGAATATTTGCAACGAAAGACCAATCTAGTTTTGAATTATGTTTCGCAAACAGAGATTTAGGTAAAAAAATCATGCATGATATTAAAATACAGAAAACAAATTTTTTTTCGCAGTTTGTTTTCATATATATCATTGCTGCAAAGGAATCTGAGAAGAAATTGAAGTGTAGGATTCTCTCGATCAAAACTCAATATATCTGCGATATGAGGTGTTACATAATACTATTGGTTATTGATCTGATGTGAATATCTTCAAAACGTGTCTGCAATTATTTGGAATTTATATTAGGAAGACACTGTGTAGGTTCATCACAAAATGCTGCCATGCTAGAAACTACACTACATTCAAGCTAGAGAACGTTTAGGCGGAATCCGTCTCTTACTTTCACATAAAAGCACTGATTCTGAATGCCTGATACAGTGTAAGGCCTGATGATCACTGATTATACAAGGCAAAGTCTGACAAGAGAAGACATTCTTTCTCCTCCTACTTTCTTCTCTTATAACAATTTATTATAATATATTTATTTGTGGTTTCTTTAACGTAGTTATCAATAGCTTATTGGATTGCGTAAAAATAGTGATCAGTGGTCAGTAAATTAGATAGAACGTGGAAGAGGTTGTAGCCTGTCTGGTTTTCGCCTTTAGGGGCAATGGAAAATCTCAAACCTCTTGAGACTCTTCAAGTATGTGGCCTGAGGGCCGGTATTTGAACGTGCGAACTTCAGAATACGAAGTAAGTGTGCTAACAACTCTAGCTCAACGTTAAATGTCGAAATGTAACGTAGTGGAGTTTCACGGAGATAAATAATTGAAATACGTGTTGATGTGGAAGGGTTTTGCAGCTAATACGATCCTCATCTCACGAAACGACCCCAGCGAACGTGCCGTCCTAACCCTTTTAAAACGGGCTCAATAAAAGTGATATAAAACTTTTACGAGGTTCTGGAATACCTGCAGCAGTTTCGGGCTTGCTGCGAGAATGCAAGATTCAGGCCTGTCTGTTGTACAGAGCGGTAATCCGGATAATTCATTAGCCAGGTGAATTTTTAAACTTCTCCGTCCCCCCACTCGCCACTAGTCGATATTCGGATCGATATTCGAATATCCGGAGGTACTCATTGGTTGCAATGAGGAGACAATCTTCACGTAAACTTTGAAAGTAAAAGTTTGAAAGTGCAGTGAACCAACAGAAAGCTTTTAATTGTACCACTGACGTCGCAGCAACTGTTACATTTTTCAAGTATATTCAGCCGCCCCATTTATTTATGTTGCTGAATTCACAAATGTCGAAGACCGGATATGATAACGCCTAACCTAACCAGTACAGGCATACCTCGGAGATATTGCGGGTTCGGTTCCAGACCACCGCAATAAAGGGAATCACACTAATGTTTTGGTTTCCCAGTGCATATAAAAGTTATGTTTACACTATACTGTAGTCTATTAAGTGTTCAATAGCATTATGTCTAAAAAAACAACGCGAGAACATTGCGAGAATTACCAAAATGTGACACAGAGACACGAAGTGAACACATAGACCTGCTCGACGCAGGGTTGCCACAAACCTTCAATTTGTAAAAAAACGAAATATCTTCGAAGCGCAATAAAACGAGGTATGTCTGTGTATAAATTTTCATTAGAATTGATCAATGGATTTGTTATAGGTATAGACCTACATATGAGTTTAATTAAGTCCTTAGAACTGGTTAAAGTGAATGAAATTTAAACCAATAATAAGTGCCTCCAAAACGACGTATTCACAGCAGCGACTTTAGTGGCCGCTTGTCAGTCAGTTGCTCGCCGCTGTCAACTGTGTCATGAAGCTAACCGTGGTCATTTTAAACACCCACACTATGTTCGCTAATTCACTTAGTGCCGTTGCTGACATATTTAATAGTTGAGTTTTTTAAAAGTGTCTTTTATTCCGTTAATTAAGCTCGTGTGTATATTTTTTGGGACAGCTTGTACGTTATATAGGCCCATGCGGTTTAATTAAAATATGTAGAACGACAAAAGATACACTTGAAGTTTCATCCAGGCTTTTAAGTAAAATAGTTTCTAAAATCAATTAAGCTAATGAAACTCACGCATTTGAATTGTAATATTGGTGTAATATAGCTGCGGGTTATCAAGGTTTATCGATTTGTGTTAAAGGCGCAGATGTGATGCTACGTATTAAATCTTTAGGTTCGCTAGTAATATACTGGGATACTGGGAACGACTCGTTCTTCAAGTGCCTGAGCACTGCGGGTCCCAACTTTTCGTTGGCTTGATCTATAGACATTCGGTAGGACTCCTTGGACGAGGGATCGGCCCGTC